TCAGTGGCATGTGGATCTTCAGGGTGAAGCGGCCGCCGGGTTCTCCGCCTGTCTTCAAGGTGCGTTACGTGGCTCGTGGCTTCAGTCAGCGGCAGGGAGTTGACTACTTTCAGACCTTCTCTCCCACCCCGAAGATGACCACTCTTCAGGTACTACTGCACGTTGCTGCTCACCGTGACTACGAGCTGCACTCTCTCGACTTCAGCACTGCTTTCTTGCAGGGCAGCCTGCACGAGGAGATCTGGCTGCGTCGCCCACCTGGGTTCACTGGGTCTTTCCCTCCTGGTACCCAGTGGAGTCTCCGGCGTCCAGTCTACGGTCTCCGCCAGGCGCCACGTGAGTGGCACGACACACTGAGGACTACGCTGGCGGCACTTGGGTTTGCTCCTTCTACTGCCGACCCGTCGCTGTTTCTGCGCACCGACACCTCTCTGCCGCCGTTCTACATCCTCGTGTACGTCGACGACTTGGTCTTTGCCACAGCTGACACTGCTGGACTCACCTACGTGAAGTCCGAGCTGCAGAAGAGACACACGTGCACTGACCTGGGTGAACTGCGCAGCTACCTTGGCTTGCAGATCACCCGGGACAGAGCACGCCGCACCATTACCTTGACTCAGTCACACATGGTGCAGCAGGTCCTTCAGCGCTTCGGCTACACGTACTCCTCGCCTCAGGCCACTCCTCTGCCTACTCGCCACTCGCTCTCAGCTCTGCCTTCGGATGAGTCCGTAGAGTCGAGTGGCCCGTATGCAGAGCTTGTTGGCTGCCTCATGTACCTGATGACCTGCACACGACCTGACCTTGCATACCCTCTTAGCATTCTTGCACGCTATGTTTCTCCTGGGAGACACCGACCAGAGCACATGGCTGCAGCGAAGAGGGTGTTGCGCTACTTGTGCAGTACGTCGGGCATGGGGCTAGTGCTTGGAGGGCGCAGTCCAGTGGTCCTCACTGGGCACGCAGACGCTTCTTGGGCTGACGACCAGGCTACGCAGCGGTCGTCACAGGGTTACACCTTCAGCCTTGGTTCCGGCTCTGTTTCGTGGCGGGCTACCCGCTCGTCTTCTGTCCTCGGCTCCAGTTGTGAGGCTGAGATCTACGCCGGGGCTATGGCTGCCCAGGAGCTTCGCTGGCTCACCTACGTGCTGATCGACCTTGGAGAGCCGCCTCGTTCTCCTCCAGTCCTGTACGTAGACAACAAGGCCATGCTGGCCTTGTGTCGAGAGCAGCGACTGGAGCACAGGACAAAGCACATTGCTCTCCGCTACTTTCTTGCTCGTGAGCTACAGCAGCGTGGACAGTTGCGACTTGCGTACGTGGCCTCTGAGGCCAACACTGCTGATGTCTTCACCAAGGCACTTGCGCCTTGTGAGCATCAGCGCTGCTGCACGCAGCTGGGTCTTGTGCTTGTCTTGCCTCACTTGCTCACTTCTTGACCTTGTTTGTACCTTCACCTATATATAATTTTCCCTTGCTTGCTTGACTCTTGTATATCTCTGTATATGAACTTGCATGTGGACTGGCCTTCTGGCCTTTGAACTTGTGCTCGGAATGTGTGGTGACTTTGTGATCCACCCTGAGCTTTGCTTTGCTTTGCTTGACTGGTCTTGTGACCCCTTGTTCTCCCCCACTTTGCCTATGGGGGTGTGTCAGAACATTATAGCTTACTTATTTGTGTAGGCTATAGTGGGGTATCCCATAGGGGGTACAACCCAATTAGGGTTTCCTATTTGTACTCACTTCGTTCATAGTCATTTCATTCTCGTTCTATTCTTCTCAGAGCCAACCTTCGCGAGCAATAGAGGCACCATGCAAGAGGTGCTAGAGTCTGCCGAGCTAGCTCTCCCTGCACTTAGAGCAGGAACACTAGCAACATCTTATAACAAACAAGCAAGGAAGATCGCGATACTCAGGGATGATCGGCAGATTCAGACTAAGATCCGGTCTACGCTACCAAAGAGAAGATATACAGGCAGCGCCAAGCTGGCACGCGGAAGCGACAACCACGACCACTAGAGAGCCGGATGTAGCAACTCAAACTTCTAGCCGACCGTCGTCAGAGACCTACAAGACCCCGCATCATAGCGCGCGAGAGAAAGAGACAAAGACGCCTGATCGCCTCAGATCCAGGAGAGACCCCGCATAGTCTAAGATGGGCAAAAGAAGCGAGAGCGCGATGGGACAAACAGCAAAGAGAAATCTCGCCGAAGCAGATGCCGGGAATGGAACAGTATGGGCAAGCGGATAGAGAGGAATGCCTGCGCCGGCACAATGGGGGGAGATCTACAGACGCCTCCGCGTCGAGACATGGTGGAAGGCAGGACGGGTGTGCAGCCAGCAGCCACGCCAAAGCAAGAACATCCAAGAGAGAGATGGGCTAATGCATCCTTGCCGAAGCTAGAAATGGCGGAGCGCTTCACAGGAATCCCTGAAATAGGACCGACGCTGAAAATCTATCTGATGCAACTCGAGACCGTGCAGTACTGCTGGGAGAGAGACGGGCTGGACCAAGCGGGGTTCTTTCACAGAATGGTAGTGACCCTTACAGGAGAGGCTGAAACCTTCTACCGGATGACGTGAAAGGAAGTACTAGAGGAGTTCGAATGTGGAGAGATAGAGAATCCGACGACACGCTTCGTGCAACTGCTGAAAAAAGAGTTCCTCGGAAAGACGAAGGCGAGGGTGGAAGAATTTAGAGAATTCCGCCACAAGAAAGACGAATCGCTACTGCGTATTATTGCTGGCTGACGGAACTTGCGGAAGACCTCGAGAATAAGGACGAGCGACTTCTGGTCCGCGAATTCGTACGGGGGTTATATGAAGAGCTGCGCAACGTGGTGCGGAACACAGTATGTATATGGAGTGGGAGCGGATATAACGACTAAGGAGGTGTACGGACTAGCTAAGAGGACAGAAAACGCACAACGAATGCTGGATCTAGAAGATTGAGAGAGCTGCGGCAAGACAAAGACGTCATGGGCAGCTGTGGCAATGGTGGAAGCTGAACACGGGGGACAAGCCCGCGTGGAAAGCAGGCGTTCTCACGAATGCGGAGAAGCAGGACACATCAAGCGGGAGTGCCCCAAGCTGCCTACATGCGACAACTGCAGTACGAGGGGACACAAGAAAGAAGACTGCTACAGCAAGTGGAGGACAGACGAGACGGCCAGCAGGGAAGAGCTAGAGGCGGAAATCAGGAAGCTGCAACTGAAACTGGAGGCGAAGCCCAAGCCAGAGCAAAGAGGACGAGCGATGCTGGCCTATGAGGAGATCGAGGAGGAAGGGGAACAGCATGGGGGGTATTCGCGAGAGGGAGCATTCATGGCCTTCCCGAGAGAAAGAGACAACATCGACCAACGGCCGAGAGCAACACCCACACAGGAGAGTGTCTTAATGAGGGAGCGGGTCCGAAGGAACACGATTCACGAAGGAACGAGCAACCTGGAGATGAGGAGGCACCTGAACGAGAGGCTAGTGTCCCAAGCATCCATGCTGATTGCAGAAAAGGGAAGCATGACGATAGGAGGGCTGCCTGTGGGGCAAGCCATAGTCGATACGGGAGCTCATCACGTTTTGATCGGAAAGGGGCTAGCGAAGCAGCTGAAGCTGGACCTACCAGGCAGATTGGTGGAGCAGGGGATACTGCTCATGACGGCCGAAGGAGGAGAGCCGAAGTGGATGCCACGCACCCTGAGACCGATAGAGGTCGTGCTGTGCCCGGGGACAAAGAAAGAATGCTGCATTAAGTTGAATTGTGGAGTGTCGGAGTCCGAGGATTATGACGTGTTAGTGGGCATGGAGCTACTATACTGTGTGGGAGCAACCACATGCACATGGCAGGAGAAAGTCTTGTACAGGTTGCAGTACTGGGACCCAGAGAGCTCGGTAGGCACACTGCCAGTGAAATTCGTCAGGCAAGAGCCAAGGGAGGAATATGGGGCGAGGCAGGCAGATTTAAAATCCGGGTCTCATATTTTATAGCGTATTACCTTTGGTTTTCTTGGAAGACAGGTGATTTGCTGGCGATGCACGAAATGTTATCTGACGGGAAAGAAAAAGTCACGCGAAACCTGCAAAGAGCCAGACCATAAGCGAGCCAGGCACAAAGGCTCGGGATGCACCAAAGCCAACACAAACGGTTTGAGTGTCGCACGAAACCAGGAAACCAAGCGACAAGAAGAGTGACGCGGGGTTTGATGTCTTGGACCCTGGTACTTTGTACAATGCTGTATGAAATCAGTCATATAAGTGGGGAGTTGAAAGCAAACAATATGCAGTTTAGTGACGACCTGAAAGTTGAAAGTACCAGTAGAGTGTGAGTGCAAGCATTACGATAGCATTTAGTTCAGATTGGTCGACTTTACATAGCAATTATGGTTACTTTACAAGCATGTTTCACTGCATGCAGCCATTCAAAAGGGTGTGTACGACAGTATACAAATGAAAACTAGAATACGTGCTACCATTTTTAGTGCCGTAAGACAAAAAAGAACCAGCAATCGTATGTGGCGGACTACAATGCATGTGCCCCGGTGGTCAGCAAGATGCTCACGCCCCCCCACTTCATCATCTCTGCCCATTATTCGCCTGTTGCACCATCACGTTGCTTCGATGTGCCCGTGCCTACTGCTGCTGCTGCTGCAGATACAAGGAGAATGTGAGGGGGCAAACTGCAGGAGGGAAAGAGGGTTGAGGGTGCGGGGACAGAGGCGGGCAGAACGGAGGAGTTTGACATATCTTGCCTTGTCCCTATCCGTCTCGTCTCGTCCGTCCGACTCTGCTCCTTCTCGTGCGTCCTGTCATGGGACGATGGGAGAGGGGCTCATGTGGAGGGAAAGGGGGATGCGGAAAAGGGAAAGGGGTATGGGGTAAGGAAGAGGGGTATGGGGGAAGGGGGTATGGGGGATGGGGCGGATGCTAGGAAGGGGGATGGGGGAAAGGGAAAGGGGGATGCTTGGTAGGGGGATGGGGGAAAGGGAAAGGGGCTGGGTAGGGGGATGGGGGACAGGGAAAGGGGGATGCTGGGAAGGGGGATCGGGAAAGGAAACGAGGATACAGGGTGTGCCTTCCCGTCCCCTCTGCTCTCGACGCCTCTCCTCTCGTCCCCTCTCGTCCCATCCCCTCCTCTCTCATCGCGTCGCCTCCTCTCTCGTCGCGTCCCCTCCTCTCTCGTCACGTCCCCTCCTCTCTCATCGCGTCCTCTTCTATCTCGCCACGTCCCCTCCTCTCTCGTTGCGTCCACTCCTCTCTCGTCGCATCCCCTCCTCTCTCGTCGCGTCCCCTTCTCTCTCGTCGCGTCCCCTTCTCTCTCGCCATGTCCCCTCCTCTCTCGTCGCATCCCCCTCTCTCTCGCCGTGTCCCCTCCTCTCTCGCTGTGCCCCCTCCTCTCTTGTCGCGTCCCCTTCTCTCTCGTCGCATCCCCTCCCGTCCCTTCTGGTCTCGGCGCAAATCTTCCCGTCCGCGACGGCGACGGTGCTGGCGCTCGCCTTGCTGCCTTCCTCTCCGCTTCCGCCGATGCCTCTCCCTCGTCGCTTCCGCCGATGCCGCTCCACTACCGCTTCAGCCGATGCCTCTCCCTCGTCGCTTCCGCCGATGCCGCTTCGCTACCGCTTCAGCCGATGCCTCTCCCTCTCCGCTTACGCCGATGCCTCTCTCTCTCTCCGCTTCCGCCGATGTCGCTCCGCTATCGCTTCATCTTTCTTTATGCTCGCCTAACCTCCCTTCCATCCCATAGCCCCTACCTTCCTCCCCATCTCCCATCCCCCCCTTCCAATCCCCTCGCGTCCCTTCCCGTCCGGTCATGTCTTGCCGTAGTCCTCCTTCCGTCTTTTATCGTCCTGTTTTGTGCGCGCGGATATGATATTGCTATGCGCTCAAGGAACCCTATTCTACTATGGTGCCGCTTTCTTCTCGTGTGGTTCGCGCAGCAATTAGCTGTAAGATCTACCCTTTGATGGATAGTCCTTACGTGCACATATCTGCATGAAAAAGACTAGGCTTGGACTGAGTAGTGGTTGTGTGTAGGTCACTGTCTTTTCTAGCAGTATGTAAGGAATTTTCTCAGGCATTCCTTACGGAGCCGACTACATCGCGTACAGCAACAGCCGACTGTTCGCCCGTTACTGCTAACGGAACTTCGCCGACTTCGCGCGCACTGTTTTGCCAAACCTCGCACTGCTGGCATGGCCGTATCGGCCTACGCTTCGGGACTAGCCCGAGCCTCGCTCCAGCGTAGCACTAGCAAGTTCGCACGCACCGCGTTACCGTTTTGCATGTTTCGCGTATAAATGCTCGCTCATGCCTTCGCTCACATTTTGTACTCGTTTGACACCTTAGTGCAATTCTCGCTACCTCGATTCATTGCACCCGTAACACTTGGTTATCAGAGCCCCTTTCTTTCGGACCGCGCATCTCCGCACAACAGGAAATCAACTTTTGATTTTTCACTCGAAGGGACTCACGCACCTTAGCCCCTAGGAGCCGCTGTCCTCGCGTTCTCTCGTAAACGCGTGCAGCCACGACTGCGCCTAGACTAAGACGAGCCGACGCCCTTCGTCATGGCCGAAAACATCGACGTCACCACTCTCACGCAGGAGCGTTTGAACGATCTGCTGCGACAACTGCACGAAAGCTCCGAGGAAATCGCGGCATTGACGGCAGAACGCTCATCACTGCAAAATGACCTCATGAGAGCACAATCCCAAGCACCTGGCACTCCGATTCAACCTGCACCCTCAACATCACAACACGGGAGTGTGGGGCAACCCGCGAGCGCGGCCAGTGATGGCGTCGTCCGCCCCGACGGAGACGACGACCACGGCACGACACACCCCAGAGCGACGCCTGCGGCCCCAAGTCAGCCTCGCGTCACGATTTCGGCACCAACCCACGATTCGGGACTGCCGTCACCGATGCCGCTGAAACCGCAGCGCCCGCCATGCTTTGACCCGAGTCAACGGGGTGGTCCTACCGTTCAGGCGTGGTTATTCACAATGAATGTTTTCTTCGACGCCAACTACGTCTCGGAGGACTCGGCGAAGATTCGATACGCCGTGTCGTTGCTGCGAGGACCCGCCATGGACTGGTGGCGCGTCATCGTCACGAAGCCGACCGACTACGCGACACTACCGACACGGGAAGGACAAACCGGACCCTGGGCGCCGTCGTATTTCGTGGAGGTGCCCCAGTATCGCATGTGGGACGCGTGGTGCGCAGGTCTGCGCGCTCGATTTGAGCCAATCGCGGCCTCGATCTCGGCGCGACAGAAGCTCCGCACTTGGCGCCAACTCGGTTCCGTCTAGGATTACACGAGCGGATTTCTGGCGCTATGCGAGCAGGTGGGCTACATGCATGAGAGCGAACGCATCGACCGCTACATCGGCGGCCTGAAGCAGGACATCGCTCAGGAAATCCAACTTCGCGGCGTCACTGAGTTTCAGGAAATTCTCGCTATGGCGGAGAAGCTCGACTTCTTTCGCCGACCGAGACCGGGGTCCTACGGAAACAACACCTGGGGACATCGGCCTCGTGGGACGAACGAGAGCGCCACGATACGCGCCGTCGCCGCAAATGCCGCTGCCGCACCGTTCAAAGGGCGCTGCTTTGCGTGCAATCGGCCGGGACATCGCAAGAGCGAATGCCCGGAAAACGCTAAGGGAAAGGGGGAAGCTGAGCAGCAGACACAGACCAAGCAGCAGGGAAACGCTGGAAGTCAGTAGCAGACGGGCCCTCTACTGACAGGTCACGCCGCTCGCCCGACCCAACCGACCCTCACCGAGTGATTGTGCCGGTTCACGCAATCGACCACACCCGGCCGAATAAGGAGGGTACCACGGTAGATAGCCCTATACTGCTCAGTGGGAAAATTGGGACGGACTTAGTTAAAATCTTCGTAGATGGGGGAGCCAGCCACAGCCTCATCAACACTGCTACAGCACGAAAACTGCGACTGCCACTGGACCGATGCTTACCTGAGATCGACGCACGACTGGTAGACGGCACGCCGCTGGCAATACGGGAACGCGTAGACCGAGTTCGGATTCGATGCGGGGGTAACTTCACGTTTAGTCAGGAAATGCTCGCAACGACCCTCGACGGAACCGACATTTTACTCGGGCGTGATTGGCTGCGACGACACAACCCGCGAATTGACTGGACGACGGGTGACTGCACCGTGCGAGTGAACGGTAACAGCATCGCCTTACCTCGCTGGGGCTCGCCTGAGTCTTCGTCGGTGCGTGTCAACGCGATCACGATGAAACGCGCTGTTGCGGCCGGAGCCGACGTGTACGCGGTTGACATTCGGGAAGCCGAGGCAGCAGACAAGGGAGGCGATTTACAGAAACTGCTGACCGACGTACCGAGTGACCTGGCGGCACTGTTACAACAGTACAGTGACATTTTCCCGGATGACCTGCCAACGGGACTGCCACCTCAGCGACCGCACGATCACAGGATAGAACTGGAACCGGGGGCACAGCCAACAGTACAGCGACAGTTCCGACTGACCCAACCCGAACTAGACGAACTAAGGAAGCAGCTCGATTACCTGCTAGAAAAGGAATTCATTCGCCCTAGTTCGTCGCCTTTCGCCGCACCAATACTGTTCACACCGAAAAAGGACGGGGGTTTTCGCATGTGCATCGACTACAGGGCACTGAACAGGGTTACCATCAAATCCCGTTACCCCATCCCACGAGCCGACGAACTGATCGACCAACTGCGCACAGCCCGGGTTTTCTCGAAAATCGACCTCCGAGGAGGCTACCACCAAATCCGCGTCAACCCACCCGACTGCCCTAAAACCGCATTCCGAACACGCTACGGATCCTTCGAATACACCGTCATGCCATTCGGACTGACCAACGCCCCCGCCACTTTCCAAATGACCATGAACGAAGCATTCCGCCCGCTTTTAGATAAGTGCGTCATCGTTTATCTGGACGACATACTGATTTACAGCCCTGACAGAGCACAGCACTTACAAGACATCGAAGCAGTTTTTAAAATCCTGAGTGAGAACCGCCTACTGACCAAAGCATCTAAGTGTGAGTTTTTACAGGACCGCCTGGAGTTTTTGGGACATGTTATTTCAGCTGCAGGAGTGGAAATAGACCCAAAGAAAATTGCGACGATTCAGGCTTGGCACGCGCCGACCAACTTGACCGAGTTGCAGAGTTTCCTGGGGTTCGTCAACTACGTGCGCCGGTTCGTCCCCGACATGGCGAAACTGACTGCCCCGTTGACTGACCTGCTGAGGAAGGGGGTTGAGTACACGTGGGGGGAGAAAGAGCAAGCTGCCTTCTCGGCCCTCAAAAATATTTTGTGCTCCCCGCCCGTCCTTCACATTGCAGATCCCCACCGTCCGTTCGAGCTCGTCACCGACGCAAGTGACATCGCTGTGGGAGCAGTACTGTTGCAGGATTTCGGGAATGGCCTCCAGCCAATCGCGTACGAGTCCCGCAAGTTACACCCGCCCGAACGTAACTACCCGATACACGACCGCGAGATGCTAGCGATCGTGCACGCGTTCAAAGTTTGGCGATGTTACCTGACTGGTGCCGACGTGACAGTACGGACAGACCACCGCTCGCTACAGTACCTTCGCGCCCAACCGAATCTCAACCCACGACAGATTCGCTGGCTGGACTATCTCGAGTCCAATTTTCACTACACCGTCACGTACAAAAAAGGAGCATCCAACATCGCCGACGCTCTCACCCGCCGCACCGCCCAACTCCACGCCATCCTACTCGCCCAGACCAACCCGCTTTTAACTGGCCTATTCACCCACGGATACCGCACCGACCCATTTTTCACGACCGGAAATTCACAGCAACTGGCAGAAGCAAAAGGAGTTTATTACGTAAAAACAGGCACCAACCGCATTTGGGTACCCGCGTACTCACTACTGAGGGAGCTGCTACTGCAGGAGGCACACGACGGGATTACCTCGGGACATTTCGGGGTAGAAAAAACACGACAGCAACTGCAGCGGTACTATTACTGGCCGGAGCTGTTGACCGACGTACAGCAGCACGTGGGCTCGTGCCCGACGTGTCAGGTGATGAAGAGTTCAAGGAAGCGGAAGGCGGGTCAATTGCAGCCGATCCCACCGCCCGAACGCGCCTGGCAGCAAGTAACCATGGACTTCGTCACAGGGTTACCTTCGAACCCTGGGGGTAACGACGCGGTGATGGTCGTCGTGGATAGGTTGACGAAGATGGCACACTTCGCTGCGTGCAAAAAGTCGATCTCAGCCGAAGAAACCGCTCGCCTGTTCATCGCAGCTGTTGTTCGCCTGCACGGGATACCAGCAGCAATTATCAGCGACAGGGACACGAAGTTTACCAGCAACTTCTGGAAGAACCTCTGGGAGCAGTTCGGGACCAGGCTACAGTTCAGTTCGTCGTACCACCCCGAGACCGACGGCCAAACGGAGCGGACGAATCAGACGATGGAGCAGTTGATTCGTGCCACGTGCGACGACCCCACGACCTGGGAGCAGCAGCTGCCGCTGATCGAGTTCGCGTACAACAACGCCACATCAGCCACGACGCAGCAGTCCCCGTTCTACCTGAACTATGGGCAGAACCCCACAGTGCCCATGACGCCGAGTCCGGACAACCCAACGCCACGCGCACAACAATTCGCCGAAATCCTGCAAGCTGCCCGCGCCAGAGCCGCCGAAGCAATAAAAAAGGCCAACGTCATCGCTAAGCGCAACGCTGATCGCCACCGCCGCCCCGTCACGTATCAATCTGGCGATTACGTGCTACTCGACACGCAGAATCTGCGACTGCCCGACGTACCAAAATTACGACCGCGCTACTGTGGACCATTCCAAATCAGCCACATGAT